CGAATACAAGAGCGGGGGGGGGGGGGGGGCGGGCGGGTATTGAGGGGAAATTTATTTTTTATTGAGGTTTTATTGAGAGGAGAATTGGGTCTTCCCACTGGAGTCACCTAATTAACTTTTTTCCTCCCTATTTGATTTTTAAAAAATGTTTTAATACCTCCGGTTCTCTACCTGTTCCAAAGTCACTTCAGTGCCTGCCAGTCTGATGCTGGTGCTTAATCATATAGATATACTTACCCTTCCACTTCAGCTTTGTCTAGTAAGTGCATTCTTGCAGCATCTACCATACTCGTTCCTACAGGACCAAGCTCTGCAGGGATGTTAGTTACTGCTTTCTTTTAAGAGATGGTGGCATTACAGCTGGCCAATAAAATACAAAGACAGCCCAAGACTCTCTCAGGTAAGTATCCTAACCATCAGACTACAACATCATGCCTCCTTGTCCCAGCGAATCTTAAATCACATAGTGTCTACCAGTAAAGCTTTAAAAGGAGATACTGAAGATGTTTTTTTCCTCCTACTCCAAAACTGCCTTCATTGCTGGTAGGTATTACACATTCTGGTGAAATTGCGTGTTTTAATCTGAATGAGGATACAGTGAGGTCTCCTTCCTGGGTTAGCTTTCTAGCCTTTAAACCTTAATAGAAAAGATGGGATCATTCACACTTTTTATGGGTAGGTATATAGGATTAGTATTTGCTTGTTTGAAAACAGGGGCTTACTTCTAGTATCCACAGTCCAAAGCCATTCTTCTATTCCTGAAGTCTTAAGCTCTTGCTTCTCAAACTCCATTGAAGAGTGTAATTTCAGGTTGTGGCCCTCCTCACAACTAGGCAATGGGAAATGCTAGTTCCTCACTAAACCTATAGGTGCATCAAAATCAGAATAGCCTCTCTGGCACATTCTAGGTGCTTAACTTAGGGCTCTGGCTACTACTCCTGTATGGAGTTCCTAACCTGGGGAAGCCTTTTCTGCACTCTACCTTGTGCTGACAGTGTGCAACTCCCCAACAAAATGTCCTGCGACCACATTTCCATTTCCTTTGCCAGAAGTATGTTGCTTAGTGCAACTGTCATGCTCTTCACAAAGTTACCAATACTTTTCCAGTAGTTGTGTGGCTGTTATATTGTCCTGTGATTAACAGATTTCCTACAGTAGTCACCGAAATGCTCTATTCCTCATTAAGATACTGTAAGTCTGGCTGTCAGAAAAGCACAGGTTTTTTTGTATTGTGACAATTTACTGCATGTACTCAAC